AAGTTATGATTTTCTGAAGTTTCGACGTGGCAGTATGCAGCCCGAATACTCGATTTGAGATCGAGCGGTTTTTAGCTGAAACAATCTAAATGAGAATCGAAGATCTTGTTGTTAGTAGCGAAGCAATGAAAAGTTAGGCGAGAACGGACGTCAGACGAAGAAGTTATGAATTTATAACGAAGTTTTTCTGTCCCGGCCTTCTAAAAATAAATAATAAAAATAAAAGTCAAAATTAGCCGACGGAGTCTAAATGAAAGTTGTAGAGTACGGTCTGACCTTCGCGTGGATATAAAGAACGTCGAAAACGGAGCTCGTATGCGAAAGTTACGCAATTTAGAAGTTTGACAAGTCAATTACGCCCCGCGTAATTTGAGTACGCCCCGCGTACTCAGTCGGTTGCAACTTGTCTGACCAATACTCGAGTGCCACCAGTCGACGCACGCAGTGACGTCAAAGTACGCCCCGCGTAACCCGAGTACGCCCCGCGTAATTTGAGTACGCCCCGCGTAATCCCAGACCCAGCAGCCTATAAATAGAACTCGAATTCAGCCATTTTCTCTTGTTCAAACTCTTCTTTCTCTCTAAGTTTTGCCTCGTTTTGCGTGCAGTTTATACCCTGAAGCCCCGGTAATATTCCCGAGCCCCGAAGCAAGATCCGAAGCCCTGAGAATCCCAAAGAGCGTTATTCCCGAGCCGAAACGCTGCCCGCGAGGAGCCCGGTTTTGTAAAGATCTTCCAGATCTACGGAGAAACACCTCTTCTGCAAGCCGTAGTGCTGCCCGATCATCTTCTGATCAAGTGAGTGTGTAGTTACTTTCATTCCAACACAATATTATGAAGTATTTCCTATAAAATACGTGTTATGTGTATATATTTGGTTGTTATACGTGTGAGTGTATATTCACTCTCTTCTATCTTATAGATCTGAAGTATTCTCTATGAAATACATGTTATGTGTGTATGCCTCATCTGTTATGAGAAAAATGTTTTGATTGATCATGCTATACAGGTTTTGAAACTACGTATAAAAATGTATATTTCATCTACTAATATGTTGGGTAGAATATGGGTAGTTAGTTGGTGTGTAATAAACAGATGAGAGGCCTCGATGTTGTTTTGATCCAGTCATCTAGCGGAATTTAGATGATGACCACGGACTTTTCTAGATAGTCCAGTGGAACGCTAGCAGGCTCATAACCTGTAGGTGTTAATGAACTTGGGTGTTCATTCGCTGTATTCCATCCCCCCATGGTTGCCTTATTTGACTTATATTGCTGAGGAACCCCCGAAGCATGTGTAGTCGCCCCGATGAAATATTCTTAGACTAGGTCCCTTGTGTTAGTTATTTAGGGACATAAAGTGAGAATAACGGGAATGGGTAACTGGGTTATTGTTGGTTGATAATAATTAATTTAATTATTTATTGTGGGTTGAAACCCCTATATGCTCACCAGGCTCCCAAGCCTGACCCACTCAGTTGATTTATTTTACAGGAAGTGGCGCAAGAGCTTAAGATGGGCGAACATCAAGTTGTTTTGTTTACAAGTCTGTATATGTATATATTTGTTGAAAGACTTGTAATGCTATCGTTTATGCTTTATGATCTGTATCGGAACATGACATCCCGACTTTTGATTATGAAATGAAATCATATTTCTCTATGAAATGTTTTGATAAATATCTATTTTATCATGTTTTGTTTTTGGGAACAAATTCCGCATCTCTTTTAAAATTAAAAGGATTTACTCTGAAAATTATTTTAAAAAGCATAAATGAAATCGGTCTTTTCGGGCCGAGATTTTGGGGATGTCACATCATCCAACATTCGCTGACATTCAACTTTTGTACGAAACAAACGATGTAACGCTCGCGTTTCTTGCTAGGCATTAATAAGATGATGTAATAGTTAGCGTCAACAATTGTAACTTATTTGATGTAATAAAGAAAAATTATATGAATATTATGTATTTCATGATTATTATAATATAATAAAATAGAAAAAATCACCTAAATCGCCCGTAAATCGTAAAAATAAGTTGGCCAAAACATATATATTATTATATATTTAGAAAGTATATGTCTTCTCGATACCGAAAATATAAATTTTATAGGAATCTAACTCTGTATGAATTATATATGATTGTTATAAAATATAAAAGTCAGTCATGCACAATGAATGTATGACGTAGTAAACTACAAAATCATTTTGGGAAAAACAAATGCCAAAAAGGAGTCCGTACGAGAAAAAAATGCCAAAAACGGAGTCCATACGAGAGAAATTTTGAAAAAAATGCCAAAAACGGGATGATGATTGTAGCCTCACTGCGAATTATCAGATTGCAACCATTACAATGTCATTCTTCCTTAGGTTATGGAACTTGTTTTCTGGTTTCATGATCCCCAGAATGGTAAGACAACTAATCTAGAGTGATTATTAATTAGAATGAATTACGTAAATAGGATTTAATAAGTTAAAAATAACCTGAACATTGCATCAAATACTGATCTGGTGGAGGTGGTATTATAGGGGTTCACCGGTGGCGTGGACTTTATACAGCTTGATCACATCTCAGCTTGGTCAAAACGAAAGCCTCATAGTGGTTCTACATCGGAATTCTGTCACAATGAAGGAATTTATTAAAGAATTTCTAGGGTTTGAGTACGATTTTGTTGGGTACGTTGCTTTGGCACATGTTGGTTGGGACGTCCTCTTTTGCGTCGTCGTTGCCTACGATATCAAGTTTCTGAACTTCCAACGAAGATAGGGAAATCATTGAATACTGTAATAAAAGCGTTTAGATAATTATAACATATATATATATATATATACACACACACACACACACACACACACACACACACACACACACACACACACATATATATATATATATATATATATATATATATATATATATATATATATATATATATATATATATAATTCTAGGCTCTTCTTGTGCAAGAATATCATTACCATTAAATAAAATATTATCAACTATATCCTTTCTAATAAATGAAAATCATCTTATCACTTATCATCTTTTAATGCGTTATATCATTTTCATTTTTTTTTCCATATGTCATTTTCTGATTTTTTAATTTTATTAATTTCCACATAATATTTAAATGTAATAATAAATACATATTAATTGCATTAATGTACTTTCTTTCTTATTTCAAAATTAGTATCTTTTTTTTTATTTATCTAAATTATTTGTTTAAATTTAAAAGATTTAATATTTTTCTCACTTTTTTTTAATAAATTCAAACTTCAAATGTTTAGAATTTCATATATATATATATATATATATATATATATATATATATATATATATATATATATAAACCTATGTAATACATGTGTCTCACACTTAGTCTAACCTAATAAATGAAGAATTTTGGCTATCTTTCTCGGATTAGGGTGGACGAAAATGAGAGCTTTAACGGCCTTATTTATAGCTGATAGGAAAACCCTAGAAACCTTATTTGAATTAAAAAAATATTATTTCAAATCTGGTATTTATCTAGTTTCCTATTTATCTTAAAGAAATATTCTAGAACCCTTTTGATCCCTATCAAAATCGTCCATGACCCGTGGAACGTTCTAGAACAATTACAACTTAAGTCCTTGCACATTTTATTAATCAAATTAATCCCAAAATAAATTTGAATTAATTTCTGATTAATTATTAATTAAATAATACTATTTTTAATTAATATATTAATTACATAATGTATTAACGAATTATTTATTGTTATTTATTAATCATATAATAAATTAATAAATCAACGTCTCTTTCTCTCTCTCTCTCTCTCTCTCTCTCTCTCTCTCTCTCTCTCTCTCTCTCTCTCTCTCTCTCTCTCTCTCCAAATGTTATAAGTACTAGTTCTGAGGGTAATCCAAAAAAGACTTTGCTTCTATTTGCAATTTTATACCATTTTAGTTATGAGCTTAGACACCTTAATCCAATAATGATGAAAATTGTGTTTCCGCTACAAAATCTGATGAATTAAGGGTGAAAAACGAGGTTGTGAAGGTTGTTGGTATATGAAATTAGATTGAAATTGTTGTTGATAGAGTGCGAAAGCTTGATATTGTTGAAAAAAATCGAGTTTGTTGGATAGGGGAACCACTTTGGAGCAAATTCATAAAACCACATTGAGGTGATTCTATGTTCGGGTATTGATGGATAGTTGTATCCAACACAAACGCATTATCTGGCTTGCGGTTTCGATAGTTTGGCGGAGTATTTTAATTGGGATACATGATACTTGGATCGTAAACAAAGTTTTGTAGGTAAATAGAGAAAACGAAAAATGGTATAAAAAATTAGGTTGTGTATTATGGTATTTATAGGTAAATGTTTTTTTTTAAAAATTAATTAATTTTTTTTTCTTCAAAAAAATGCAATTCAACGGCTAGTCAAAATGGTCAAGAGTAGATTGCATTGATTGAGCGTTGCCATTCGTTAATTTATAGATAAGTATAATATTTAACAAAAAGTCATTTATCAAACCATACCCACTTAGTTACACCCACCGGCGGCGGCCTCCCTTCCTCCTCCACATCGGCGGCCCTCTCTCTCTCTCTCTCCCTCCTAAGTTTTCACTCGGACAACCGTGAAACTTCCATTGTATAGGTCGTGTAATTTCTCGGCAGGTTTTTGGTTGCGTTGGGATGAAAAATTAACGAAACACAAGGGATGTCATGACGGTGTACCGGTAGACGACTATAGTAAAGTGATGGTCGATGATATGATATTTGGTTTTGAGATGGGCCAAAAGGATGATTATTGGTATTACATTGGATTGCGGACACCACGGAGGTTGACAAATGCGGGAAAGTCGTTGGTGATTTAATGGGGTGGGGTTGTGGGAACCATGTAGTGTCAAACTGTAGTACCACATATGAAAGATGTCTTTTTTTTTTTTGGTTATTGTAATAATCATAATAATAAACCTCACTACGTAGTATACGTACTATATTTCAATTTATACATATTTTAGCATGATATACACTAAATATTTATGACGCGTAAAGTGAAAGCTCCGCCTATGTTGTAAAGGTATCCATAGTCATGAAAAGCAAATTACAGAAAATCAGAAAAAGTGGCAAAGCTATTATCCATATATCTATGATTCTCGTCGAAGTCAAACCCATCTGTTATAAACATTAAATTCCGAACCTTTTCGTCATTGCCTTCCATGAATAGTAAATCAGATCTCTCTTCAATACCCACCTTGTAAATCACTTATTCTCATAATAATAAAACTCAATTTCTGCGGTTTGAGTGGTGAAGATGCAGGCGGCAGCGCTCGCCGGAGATGATCTAGCCAGGTCAATGAGTTTTTCATCTTCCAGTAGGAGGAGCTGGGCTTCCGCTAGTATCAGGGAGGCTTTCTCGGCGGCACCAGGAGGTGGTGATCATGCTTTTGCCACAAGCGGGCGCCACGAACAAGACGATGAAGAAGAACTCAAATGGGCTGCAATCGAGAGGCTCCCTACATACGACAGATTAAAGAAAGGAATCTTGAAGCAAGTTCTTGATAACGGACAAATTGTTCATCAAGAAATCGATATCACAACTCTAGGACCTCAAGATAAGAAACTGCTTATAGAGAGCATACTCAAAGTAGTGGAAGAAGATAACGAAAAGTTTCTAAATAGAGTTCGAGCTAGAACGGATAGGTGAAATTAGAACAGACTAATCTTTATAATAACTGAGTTGTATTAAAATTTCAATTTAATCAATAGTAATATTATGTGTTTTAAACAGGGTCGGGATTGATATTCCAAAGATCCAAGTACGCTACAAGAACTTGTCGATCGAAGGAGACATTCATGTCGGGTTCAGAGCTCTTCCTACTTTACTAAACGCCACCCTCAATACCATGGAGGTTAGTATGCTGATTTTTAGTACTTCATAAAAATCGACACTTTCTAAACTTTTATTTGTTACGGATAGGGACTTCTTCGATTCTTTAAGTTTGTTCCATCGAAGAAAAAAGTGATCAAAATCTTATGTGATGTGAGTGGGATTGTGAGGCCATCAAGGTACGTTTGGCGCCAATTTTAAACATCGGGAAAGGATTAATATTTTATTTTGATTTTACCGAATTTTCATTTTCAGGATGACGTTACTTCTTGGACCTCCTGGTTCTGGAAAGACAACATTGCTGAGGGCACTTGCCGGAGTACTGGATTCAGATCTCAGAGTCGCCGGAGAAGTTACTTACTGTGGCCACCGGATGTCGGAGTTTATTCCTCAGAGGACTTGTGCGTATATTAGCCAACATGACGTCCATCATGGTGAGATGACAGTTAGGGAGACGTTTGATTTTGCTGGGCGGTGTCTAGGTGTAGGAACCAGGTGCGACCTCCTCCAAGAACTTTCACGACGTGAGAAAGATGAAGGGATTAAACCAGACCCGGAAATCGACGCCTTCATGAAAGCGACAGCAGTATCTGGTCAAGAATCTAGTTTGGCCACAGATTATGTTTTAAAGGTTTATCTCAAACTCTCTGTTTTCTGTTCAAAATTTTAGTTAGTTTAATGGCAACATTAGTTGATTTGAACAAAATGCATACAGATTCTTGGATTAGATATTTGTGCTGATACCATGGTAGGTGATGAGATGAGAAGAGGAATCTCCGGTGGACAGAAAAAACGTGTCACTACCGGTATTATTCCATGTTCGGGTGTCTCTATATGCTTGGGCCCATTGTTTAGGCACCAAGAGACCAACTATATGAAAACTTTGGACACTCATAATTCATATATACACAATTTCGAAAATCTAACTAGCCTATTTTCTACAACCAAAACCAACTGTGGCCACAGGGTTCAAGTCTGTCTATTTTCTACAACCAAAACCAACTGTGTCCAGGGTTCAAGTCGGTTTACGACATAGCTGAAATTACAAGTAGATTTGCGTTCAAAAAAAAAAAAAAAAAAACTATTTCTACACTCTAAGCTTTCAAACGAGTTGATAACTTGAAACAATATATATATTTTTTTTTTCTTTTTCTAATTTTAGGAGAGATGTTGGTTGGGCCTGCAAAGGTGTTCTTCATGGACGAAATTTCAACTGGTTTAGACAGTTCAACAACTTTTCAAATCGTCAATTACATGAAACAACTGGTTCACATAATGGATGTAACCATGATCATTTCCCTTCTTCAACCCGCACCCGAAACATTTGAGCTATTTGACGACATCATACTCCTCTCTGAAGGTCAAATCGTCTACCAAGGCCCACGTGAAGACATTCTTGATTTCTTCTCAAGTGCAGGATTCAAATGCCCAGAAAGGAAAGGAGTTGCAGATTTTTTGCAAGAAGTCACTTCAAGAAAAGACCAACAACAGTACTGGTTCAAAACAAACGAACCATACCGTTACATCTCCGTATCTGAATTCAGTCAGCTTTTCAGCCAGTTTGAAACCGGTGAGAGCCTTTTTGATGATCTTGCCATTCCTTATGACAAAACCCAAATGCATCCAGCTGCTTTGGTGACTAAGAAGTATGGTATTTCAAACATGGAGCTCCTTAAAGCAAACTTAGCAAGAGAATGGTTACTGATGGAACGTAATGCTTTCTTGTACATATTCAAGACGACTCAGATTACTATTATGTCGGTTATTACTTTCACGGTGTTCTTTAGAACCGAAATGAAGAGTGGTAGCCTTGAAGATGGTAGGAAGTTTTTTGGTGCTCTGTTCTTCAGTCTTCTGAATGTAATGTTTAATGGGGTTGCTGAGCTGGCAACTACGGTTATTAGGCTGCCTGTGTTCTTCAAACAGAGGGATTCATTATTTTACCCTGCATGGGCATTTGCAATACCCATATGGATCATGAAGATTCCTATATCAATCATGGAGTCAGTAATATGGATTGTTCTAACATATTACACTATTGGGTTTGCTCCTTCTGCTAAAAGGTAAGCAATTAAATATTTTCTGAAACTAAATGAGATTGAAACTTGAATGAATATAACATGATTGATGTTTCCCTGTTTGAATATTTATCAGGTTTTTCCGGCAGCTTTTGGCTTATATTGGCCTACATCAAATGGCTTTGTCTCTTTTCCGTTTCATTGCTGTACTTGGAAGAACACAAGTAGTTGCAAATGCTCTTGCCACCTTTTCATTGCTATTGGTTTTTGTACTCGGTGGATTCATTGTTGCAAAAGGTATATATCCCACCTATTGTTTTTACTTTTCTGTACTCGATTGAGAATGTTTGTAACTTATCTTGTTTCTTGTAGATGACATTGACCCATGGATGATATGGGGATATTACATTTCCCCAATGATGTATGGACAAAATGCTATTGTGATCAATGAGTTTTTAGATGATAGATGGAGCACTGTAAGCTTTCATTTCAAAAGAATATCTTTTTTGTGCATGTTTCTGAAATAAATAGCTTTCACTTGTATGACAGCCGAACCCTGATCCACGAATTAGTGAACCAACTGTTGGGAAGGTTCTTCTCAAGTCAAGGGGAATGTTCACAACCGATTATATGTTTTGGGTTTGTGTCATTGCACTCTTTGGATTTTCACTTCTATTTAACCTCTTCTTTGTGTTAGCTCTGACATATTTGAACCGTAAGAGTGTCCTTTCTGTTTATTTGTTTAATCTTTTGTTATCTGTAAGAGTTCTTGTTGCATCTTATAAAAATTTTTGATCCTATATCCAGCTCTTGGGGATTCAAAAACTGTTGTTCTGGCAGAAGATGAGCAGAATCAGAAGCACCCACAAATAGAAATGGCAGGAAGAAACATCGTTAAGAAGGGAATGGTGCTCCCATTTCAGCCACTCTCACTAGCATTTAATCATGTCAATTACTATGTAGCCATGCCTGCTGTAAGTGCCGGTTATAACAAGATTCAAAAACTTGATTTCCTCGGATAATCTGTGGAAGAATGACATAAACATTTGACAAATTTATCAGGAAATGAAACCACAAGGAATCGAAGAGGATCGTCTGCAACTGCTACAAGATGTCAGTGGCACATTCCGCCCAGGCATTCTGACAGCTTTGGTGGGAATCAGTGGGGCAGGAAAGACGACATTGATGGATGTGTTAGCTGGGAGAAAGACTAGTGGGTATATTGAAGGAAGTATCAGCATCTCTGGTTACCCTAAAAAACAAGAAACATTTGCTCGTGTCAGTGGATACTGTGAACAAAACGACATCCATTCTCCCCATGTCACTGTTTATGAGTCCCTTGTGTACTCTGCCTGGTTACGCCTTGCTCCAGACATAACCACGGAAACAAGCCAGGTAATAAAGTTTCTAGGGTAAATTACACGAATGGTCACTGTGGTTTGGGGTAACCTGCGTGGTTGGTCCTTGAGAAGTTTTTTTAACTCGGAAGGTCCCTAATGTTTGTTTTTGTTGCGTCTTTAGTCCCCGTTTGACTTAAAATGACTTTTTTACCCTTAGTTTCTTTTTTATTTACTTGTCATTTATTTTATTAATATTTTTTAAGAAAAAAAGAAAGAAAGAAAGAAAACAAAACCCACCACCATACCCGATATCTCAACCCCCAACTCTACCTTTTACTTTTGATACAATCTCTTTGTTTCTCAACTCAACCAAGAAAGAAGAAACCCTCAAATAGTCATCGCTGCCTTGGATGGTACCGGTGAACCAACCCTTTCTCAACCTCACACCATCAAGCTTCTCTCATCTCATCTCTAGTTGGTCTCCTGCAATGTATCTCTGTTTCTCAACTTCGGTGTATATTCGATCTGCAATCGAACGGAACCATATCATTTTCTATGATATGCAATCGAACAGAGGTAGTGGTGGTGTTTGGAAACCCACATGCTTTTTCAAAGCCAAAAAAATGAAAGCCCCCTGCTTCAAATCCCTAAAACGAACCAGATGTTGCAAATCGAAGGTGTTCGGAGTACATATGGTGGCCGTTTCTGCATATCAAGATTGATATGTTCCGACAACGATCCAGATTTCTGATGTCGACGAAGATCCCCCCCCTTACTGCAATATACTATTTTCATCACCTGGGGTTGGAGAAATTTTTTGTTGTTCTTTTGGTATAATATTTAATCACTAGGGAAGTTGCAGGTAGGCAGAGAAGGAGGTGGAGTGTTTTTTCATTTTCATCATATTGTGTAATCGTTTTTATTTTCATCAGATTTTCAGTTTGTGTGTTTTCTGGGTTTGAGAAAAGATGATGTCGTGTATGTCGGAATTGTGTTTACTATGTGAGACGAAGGAGGTGGGGCAGGGTGTCGTTCTTGCGAACTAAGAGGAATGCGATTGGTTTTCTGGCAATTAGGTTTTCAGTGAGTGGATTTCTAGTTTTAGTTTTCCCGATGAAAGTTTTCAGTGGTGGTGGAGGAAACTGATGGTGGTGGTGGTGTTGCAGGTGGTTGTTAGGTGGTCGATAATGAGTATTGAGATGGTGGGACCATGTTCTTTTTTATTAATGATTTTTTTTTTAATTTAATACGATAATAAAAACTGAATAAAGATTTAAAAAGGGTAATATGGTCATTTCAAGTCAACAAGGGACTAAAGACGCAACAAAAACAAACATTAGGGACCTTCCGAGTTAAAAAAACTTCTTAGGGACCAACCACGCAGATTACCCCAAACCACAGGGACCATTCGTGTAATTTACCCAAGTTTCTAGTTTTCACAACTCTTACCATTTTACCCCCGGCACGTAGCATGATGATATCTTCATAGAAACAAATTTTCTAGTTGGATTCTAGTGGAGATCGGGTCTTATATGCTACCTTTTGTAGAAACCTTTGATCATTCCTCTAAACATACGAACAACCACATGTCTTTTAGATGTTTGTGGAAGAAATCATGGATTTGGTGGAACTGAACCCGTTAAGGAATGCAATCGTTGGGCTTCCAGGAGTAGATGGTCTTTCAACTGAACAAAGAAAGAGGCTGACAATAGCAGTAGAATTGGTTGCAAATCCATCAATCATCTTCATGGATGAGCCCACATCAGGCCTTGATGCAAGAGCTGCTGCCATTGTCATGCGTACTGTTAGAAACACGGTTGACACCGGTCGAACAGTAGTATGCACAATCCACCAACCGAGTATCGACATTTTCGAGGCTTTTGACGAGGTAAATCATCTAAAATTGAAGTACTCGGTTTCCATTTCTTGTATTTAATTAATGATCTTTAAAACTTATTTCTAATGTTCTTGTAGCTATTGTTGATGAAAAGAGGCGGGCAGGTCACTTACACTGGACCTCTCGGGCACCAATCTAACCACCTAATAGAATATTTTGAAGTGAGTACATCCTTAATTTTCATGCTCCCATTCATACAATGCAAAGAATCTAATAACTCGATCAAACTTTTCAGTCTATTCCTGGAGTTAACAAAATCAAAGAAGGTCAAAATCCGGCCACATGGATGCTCGAAGTTAGTTCTTCAACAGTTGAAGCTCAACTTGGTGTTGATTTTGCAGATATTTATGTCAACTCTGATCTTTATAAGTATGAATCTAGAATCCCTAAGCATCAACTTTTGGATTCTACTAAGTGTCTTACTAATGGGTTATGTTGAATAGGAGGAACCAAGAGCTCATTAAGGTGCTCAGTACACCAGTATCAGGGTCCCATGACCTTTACTTCCCTACAAAGTACTCTCAATCCTTTTGGACACAATGCATGGCTTGTTTATGGAAACAACACTGGTCTTACTGGAGGCATCCACAATATAATGTTGTTCGGTTCTTCATGACGACAGTGATTGGCATTCTCTTTGGATTGATTTTCTGGGACAAAGGCCAAAAAACGTAAGACATTTGAACTCAAACACATCATTTAATTTCAAATTAAGAATATAATTCTAGAAGATTTTGTGTCGTTTTGACAGTGACAAACAACAAGATGTAATGAATCTGATGGGAGCTATGTATGCGGCTGTACTTTTTCTTGGTGGGACAAACACTTCGGCTGTACAGTCTGTGGTGTCTATAGAAAGAACGGTTTTCTATCGTGAGAAAGCAGCAGGAATGTATTCAGCAATCCCTTACGCATTTGCTCAAGTAAAATAAAATTGTTTTAACTTTTTCTGTTTCTTTTTAGTTTTTATGGAAAACTGAAACTAGATCATTATTTTGGCTGAAGGTTGCTATCGAGGTGGTTTATGTAGGCATACAGACGATCATATACAGTCTTCTGATTTACTCCATGATTGGGTTCCAGTGGTCAGCATACAAGTTTCTATGGTTCTACTTTTACATATTCATGTGCTTTGTCTATTTTACATTATACGGGATGATGCTTGTAGCCCTCACTCCAAATTATCAGATTGCAGCCATTACGATGTCGTTCTTCCTTAGTTTCTGGAACTTGTTTTCTGGTTTCATGATCTCCAGAACGGTATGACAAGTAATCTAGAGTGATACTTAATTAGAATGAATTACATTACAAAATCTAACAAAACTAACCTGAACTTTGCAGCAAATACCGATCTGGTGGAGGTGGTATTACTGGGGTTCACCGGTGTCGTGGACTTTATACGGCCTGATCACATCTCAGCTTGGTCAAAACGAAAGCCTCCTAGAGGTGCTAGACGAGAATTCTGTTACAGTTAAGGAATTCATTAAAGAATTTCTAGGGTTTGAGTATGATTTTCTCGGATACGTTGCTTTGGCTCATGTTGGTTGGGTCGTTCTCTTTTGCGTTGTCTTTGCCTACGGCATCAAGTTTCTGAACTTCCAACGAAGATAAGGAAATCAACGAAGATGTAAATGTGTTTAATTAATCATAGAAAATATAAATACTTTTTATCAAACCTCATAAATCGCGCCTTATGTATAATGCAATTTAGAACAATGGTGGTGTTGTTTGTAATTTTGTTAAACCACATATTTTTTTCATTAGAAAACTATATACCGTCCAAACCACATTGCACCGCGTCATATGCTTGATATTGAAATATGTTATAATGACGACTTAATTTGAAAGTAAGAAAGGATAGAACAGTTAAATTATGTTTTATATTGATCATTAATTATGCAAATATGAATAAAGCAATGCACAATATCATAAACTAGACTTTTAGAATGAGAATGCGAAGAAATGTTGTTGGAATTACACATGGGAGGTGATTCTTCCACATTAAATTTTAATCCATCCACTAAAACTTTATATGTATTACCAATTATGCTCCTCATTTAATATTAAAGAGAGAGAAAGATCAATTTTTTGTTCTACACCTACGTCCACATATTAAATTAGAACTAAATTTTTTTTTTCTTCTTCTTCCTTATCATTCTTTACAAACTACGTTCTCATTTTAACAGTTAAATCTTTTGTACGAACAGAAATATCCACCCTCATTTTTATACTTAAATAAGGCTTGAAACTGATAACTTTTGGTCTCCAAATGATTAAAAAGATTGTGTCTTCCACAGACTTCCAGTTTTATAACTTGAAAGGCATTGCCTGTTTTCCCTTTTATTATATTAATAAGAACTGATAGAATTCTAATCAAGAGGTTAAGTGTAAGCAAATGAGATTGAAACTGATTGGTGTTCTTAGATCGAAACCTGCATTGATTTGGTTAATAACAGAAGAGAAAAAAACACAGTCAAATATGAACCTTTCCCTGGTCACCACATGAAAAAAGAACCCAAGGAAAGAAATGCCGGAGATTGCAGTCTATTATCCTATACCATGTCAAACCTTTTAAAATAAAATACACACTAAAAACACATATGATTGCAAACAGGCATATACCCAAAAGACATCACAACTCATTTACATTTACCCAAGCCCAACTCCTAAGAATGTTTTTCCTACTTCTGACTACAACCATGGATAATAGATTAAAAGGCTCAAACATCTTTCCTTATTCCTATCTGATTAATTGCATCCGCCTAATGGTGTTCTTCTGACTATTTGAAAATGAAAACCTGCATGGAATTAGATAATAACACTACAAGAAAAACAAACACCAAAGTATGCCCTTCCCCAATAATCCCACGAAAAGAGAGAAAATCACAAAAAAGACATGCCTGATATTGCAGACCACAAAACCTATCATATAACTAGTCTAGATTTTAATTTACATAATGTAAGGTGACTTGCACAAATTTTCTTCAAGACGAAGTGTATAACTACGAAGCTCTTGCCACATACCAATCAAAATTAAGAGAACTTACGATTCATAGATCAAATTTTTTTACAATTTATATGCATGTATAGAGAATCTAAGAATCATACGCACACACAGAAAATCAATATGTTTAATCGTTAAAAAACTTTGACAAATCATCCGCATAGCAATGACGATGCTTGGGAATTGATAATAATAGTGACGGTGATTGAGAATCAGAGATTGAAAATTCATACGCATACCCTGATGAGGATGGGCCGATGAAGAAGCTACCCTGATGAGAAAGCGAGAATAAGGAAGGAGCGTCATGATCATTTAGAAAAATATAGGACCCCGCTAGGGGCGCTGCCCCTAGACCCCGCTGCCCCCAGATCCCCGACTAGTCGTCGAACCGGCTTCTGATTCGATCTTATACATGCGTGCACTCCGCACAACCCAGTACGTATATTAGAGAATAAATCATGAAACCCCTTACCTCACATATTGGTTCCAGTTACTTAAAATGACATGGTGGCACTAAAATCAATCACCCACAAAGGGTGTAGCTGTATCTCTGTAAGGGATAGTGTGACTTAGAATGTTGAAGCTTAATTTATGGGTGTGTAGGAACTGAAATTTCTAAACAACAAAGACAAATTCAGCTCTCTGAACAGTTATGAAACTCCAGTCTGAACTAATTTTCTTGATCTTTTTTAGTTTGGACTTCTCAGAAGTTGTAGACAACAAATCAAAATCATTCAGTGATTTTCTGAACTAATAATATCCCTCTAACAGTTTGGAAACAATTGCTTCATAGATCTTTTAAAGCATTAAATAAGTGACTGATCACCAACGTATGTCTATTTCACCCATTATATTCTTGTTTGTAAAGAGAAACTTCTACGCCTTCTTGATTCCTAATCCCCTTTTTTTATTTCATCAAGACTTTATGAAGGGTTTCTGGTTCTGCACATTTTAAGAACGAATTGTTCCTGGATTTTTTCAAGAAAATACCTAGTGGTCTCTGAGCATCCCTAATTTGTTTCTATTTTACCATGAAATTCCCTAAATTCATCTTCAAAGGGCTCGTGAAGTCGTCAAGTAATTGCATACAGAGAGAAGAACCTGGCCAATAGTCATCAAGTAACACTCCATTTGGTACCAAAAGTACTTTTTTTTTTAGTTTCTCCATTAAAATAATATTATTATTTTAGTTGTTACAATAAATGATCATACAATAATAAATCTCATTAATTCAGAAACGACGAACACTACCTTATTTCATATTATATATATTCTAAGTAGCATGCAGATAGAGATTGATATCCACGACAAATAAAGGAATCTGTATTCTTGTCTAAAAGCCACCCTCTTAAGTGATGACAAACGCATAATAGGCAGATTGCAGAAAAACTGAAAAGGTCGGAAGCTGTTCCACATACCAAGATGGAGACATGATATGTTATATATTGGTTCCAATAATAGCGAATCACATCTTACTTCCACGCTCACCACCAAAAAACTTGTCATCTTATGATTATGGCCATGGGTATTTCCAAAAGCATAAAAATCACTTATTTTCATAATAAAATTCAATTTAAGCAGCTTCAAATCTAGATTTCAGTTGGGATTTTCTGCAGTTTGAATAGATGGCCGCAGCACCTGGAGATGATGTTGCTTTTTCCACAACTGAGCGGCAGGATGATGAAGAAGAGCTGAAATGGGCTGCATTGGAGAGACTCCCTACATACGATAGATTAAAAAAAGGAATCTTGAAGCAAGTTCTTGATAACGGACAAATTGTTCACCAAGAAATCGATATCACAACTCTTGGACCTCAAGATAAGAAACTGCTTATAGAGAGCATACTCAAAGTAGTAGAAGAAGATAACGAAAAGTTTCTAAATAGAATTCGATCAAGAACCGATAGGTGAATGAAATCTACTAATTTTCAAGTTATTTATTCATAAATCATAATATCATACGTGTTAAACAGGGTCGGGATCGATATTCCAAAGATCCAAGTATGCTACAAGAACTTGTCGATCGAAGGAGACGTTCATGTTGGGTCCAGAGCTCTTCCTACTTTACTAAACGCCTCACTCAACACCATGGAGGTTTGTTTGTTGATTTTTCGTACTAAAAATTCATCAAATTCTAACATTTTTAACCAAAATAGGGACTTCTTCGATTCTTTAAGCTTGTTCCATCGAAGAAAAGAGTTGTTAAAATCTTGCATGATGTGTGTGGGATTGTGAGGCCATCACGGTATGTTTCGCGCCATTTTCAAACATCTCGGGAAATTAAAGTACACATTTTTTATTTTAGTTGACCGAGTTTGACCTTTTCAGCATGACGTTACTTCTTGGACCTCCTGCTTCTGGGAAGACCACATTGCTAAGGGCACTTGCCGGAGTACTGAATTCAGATCTAAGAGTCACCGGAGATGTTACTTACTGTGGCCACCGGATGTCGGAGTTTATTCCTCAGAGGACTTGTGCATATATTAGTCAACATGATGTTCATTATGGTGAGATGACAGTTAGGGAGACGTTTGATTTTGCTGGGAGGTGTCTAGGTGTAGGAACCAGATACGACCTCCTGGAAGAACTTTCACGACGTGAGAAAGAAGAAGGGATTAAACCAGACCCGGATATCGATGCTTTCATGAAAGCGACTGCAGTGTCTGGTCAAGAATCTAGCTTGGCTACAGACTATGTTTTAAAGGTTTATCTCAATTTCTCTGTTTTTTTGTTCAAATTTTATAGTTATTTTAATTGAGCTGATTTAAACTAAATGTAAACGTACAGATTCTTGGATTAGATATCTGTGCAGATACCATGGTCGGTGATGTGATGAGAAGAGGAATATCTGGTGGAGAGAAAAAACGTGTCACTACTGGTAACTATTTCAAGTCCACAATTATTATACTTGCGTTTGGCATGTAGCAGATTGAGACTAAAACTGATGTTAATTAAATAAAAATCACAACATAAAGAGTATAATTGAAAAACTCTAAAACCAAAGAAAAACCAAGATTTTGTTGAGAGAAATTCACTACATGACAACTTTTTTTTACATTCATACAGACTAATATCTACAGTAATTCCCAAGATACCATACTTTTCAGCTTAACTCGTTTCTTTTTAGACTCTAAAATAGAAAACAAAAGAAAAGGAATCAAATACCTTAAATATTTTTTTAATATCAGTAAAATCTCAGTGAGTGGTGTACATTGAACTGCATCCACAATGCACAATTTAGTGGAATTATTGAATGAAATGACTTGTTGACATTTAATAGATTAAACTAAACTATAATTGATGCCACATTGACGTCCTACGCTGTTAGATCACCATTGAATTGGTCAATGAAAAAAAACATTATAAAAATTATAAAATGATTAACAAATTTATGATCTTTTTAAATTAAATAAATAAATAAAATAGGTTCGGCCAATTGGGAATAGCCCAATAGGTAAAGGCATAGCCTCTTAGTTTGCGAGGATGGGGAAACTAGTGATCGATCCTTGGTGCTAACAAGAATTAGAGGATTGACACTAACACATAACCGGTCAATCTGTAGTTCAAAAAAAAAAATGTTCCATTGTACTTTTTTATAAAGAGCAGGACTAGACATAAGCTTTTAGGTTATTCTCGTTGATGAGGAGGAGTAGAGCGTTCATGTTTTTCGCATGTTTCAATTGAGATGATAACATAAGACCATTGTATAATATTTTTCCAAATTTCAGGAGAAATGTTGGTTGGGCCTGCAAAAATGTTCTTCATGGATGGAATCTCGACCGGTTTAGACAGTTCGACCACTTTTCAAATCGTCAAATACATGACACAATTGGTTCACATAATGGATGTAACCATGATCATTTCCCTTCTTCAACCCGCCCCCGAAACATTTGAACTATTTGACGACATTATACTCCTCTCCGAAGGTCAAATAGTCTACCAAGGCCCACGTGAAGATATTCTTGCTTTCTTTGAGAGTGTAGGGTTCAAATGCCCAGAAAGGAAAGGAGTTGCAGACTTTTTGCAAGAAGTTACTTCAAGAAAAGACCAACAACAGTATTGGTTCAAAACAAATGAACCATACCGTTACGTCTCTGTATCTGAATTCAGTCAGCTTTTTAGCCAGTTTGAAACTGGCGAGTGTCTTTATGACGATCTTTCCCTTCCTTACGACAAAACCCAAATGCAACCTGCTGCTTTGGTGACCAAAAAGTATGGTATTTCAAACATGGATCTCCTTAAAGCAAACTTAGCAAGAGAATGGTTATTGATGAAACGGAATGCTTTCTTGTACATATTCAAGACGTTTCAGATTACTATCATGTCGATTATTACTTTCACTGTGTTCTTTAGAACCGAAATGAAGAGTGGTCGACTTGAAGATGGTGGCAAGTTTTTTGGTGCTTTGTTCTTCAGTCTTTTGAATGTGATGTTTAATGGGGCTGTTGAGCTGGCATTGACGGTTAAGAGGCTGCCTGTGTTCTTTAAACAGAGGGATTCGCTGTTTTACCCTTCATGGGCTTTTGCCATACCCATATGGATCATGAGGATTCCCATATCGTTCACAGAGTCACTAATTTGGGTTGTTCTAACATATTACACTATCGGTTTTGCTCCTTCGGCTAGTAGGCAAGTATCAACACTTTTGTGAAACTAAATTAGGTAGAAACTTGAACAAATCTAACATGTTTGAATATGTATCAGGTTTTTCAAGCAGCTTTTGGCTTATATTGTCCTACATCAAATGGCTTCGGCTCTTTACCGTTTAATGGCTGCCATTGGAAGAACGCAGGTCATAGCAAATGCTCTTGGTACCTTTATGTTGCTAGTGGTTTTTGTACTTGGTGGATTCATCGTTGCAAAAGGTATGTTTACGGACAAAATTGTTATGGAGTGAAATTCTATAATTGAGGTCATAGGTTCAAAACCCGAGCACACTCTATTTACCATTAGGGCATCCACAATGCATTGTATTTTATAGAGTTTAATGGATTGTCACATCATCATTCTACTTTTCACACAACTTTATAATCTTTTTTCTATAATGCATTAGATCCTATATAATTCAATAGAACATGTTAAAAAGATCATGTATTACAAAACCTAGTTTATGATATCTATTTAAAGATTAAAAGTTTTTCTTTAAATAGTTCAATGGCCACTCTATTGAATTTAATCCATTGAATATCAAACTAGGCATTCCACCTCTTTCAACTCTTCCATTAAACCATGCATGGTCCATTTTGTTCTGATATTTACCTGTGGCCCTCACACATATGGTTTACCCCTTTTTTTATACATAGTATTTGTTTCTTGCAGACGACATTGAACCTTGGATGATATGGGGTTATTATGTTTCCCCCATGATGTATGGACAAAATGCCATTGCGATCAATGAGTTTTTAGATGATAGATGGAGCACCGTAAGCTTTGTTACTCAAAATTTCCGTATTTTTTGCTTGTCTATGAACTAAATAGCTTTCCATCGCCTTACAGCCAAATCCTGATCCAAGAATCAATGAAACGACTGTAGGGAAGGTTCTTCTGAAGTCGAAGGGGATGTTCACAACCGATTATATGTATTGGGTTTGTGTCATTGCACTCTTTGGTTTTTCTCTTCTCTTCAACCTCCTCTTTGTGTTAGCTCTTTCGTACTTGAATCGTAAGACTTTCTTTCTGTTATTTGTGTAATCTTTTTTATCTGCATACGTTCTTGTATCTTATATACCTTTTTGATCCAAAATTCAGCTCTCAGAGATTCAAAAACCGTTGTTCCGACAGAAGATGAGCAGAATAAGAAGCACCAAGAAACAGACACAGAAATGGCAGCAAGAAAGAAAGGAATGGTGCTCCCGTTTCAGCCACTGTCCCTTGCATTCGATCATGTCAACTACTATGTAGACATGCCTGCTGTAAGACCAAGTTATAATAAGATTCAATAACTTGGATTTTTCAGTGAAAGGATGACATAGAAATTTGAGAATTTTATCAGGAAATGAAAAAAACACAAGGAATAGAAGAGAATCGCCTACAACTACTACAAGATGTCAGTGGGACATTCCGGCCAGGCATCCTGACAGCATTAGTTGGCATAAGTGGGGCCGGAAAAACGACCTTGATGGATGTTTTAGCTGGAAGAAAGACCAGTGGGTATGTTGGAGGAAATATCAGCATCTCTGGTTACCCTAAAAACCAAGAAACATTTACTCGTGTTAGTGGATACTGTGAACAAAACGATATCCATTCTCCCCATGTCACCGTTTATGAATCCCTCGTCTACTCTGCTTGGTTACGTCTTTCTCCAGACATAACCACAGAAACACGTCAGGTAATTTTTTTTCTAGTTTTCACTCCTTTGACAATTTTGCCCCCGGTACGGGTTTATCTTTGCAAATACACACGAAACTTCAAGTCTCATCAGCAGCAGTGTGGGAGTTTCAATTCCAATGTGGAATGGTCTTCTTGTGCGCACTGCTACCTAACAGTGTGGGCCAACTCACGGGTTGTTGGAACTGGAAGTATATATAACCATTTTGAAGAAACTTTGATTACTGCTCCAGATACCAACAACTACATTTATTTCTTATGGTTTAGATGTTTGTGGAAGAAGTCATGGATTTGGTGGAACTGAACCCGTTAAGGAATGCAATAGTTGGGCTTCCAGGAGTAGATGGTCTTTCTACTGAACAAAGAAAGAGGCTGACAATAGCAGTAGAATTGGTTGCAAATCCATCAATCATTTTCATGGATGAGCCCACATCAGGCCTTGATGCAAGAGCTGCTGCCATTGTCATGCGTACTGTTAGAAACACGGTTGACACCGGTCGAACAGTTGTATGCACAATCCACCAACCGAGTATCGACATTTTCGAGGCTTTTGACGAGGTAAGTCATCTAAAATTGAAGTGCTCGGTTTCCATTTCTTGTATTCAATTAATGATCTTTAAAACTTAATTCCCATGTTCTTGCAGCTGTTGTTGATGAAAAGAGGTGGACAGGTCACTTACACTGGACCTCTCGGGCACCAATCTAACCACCTAATAGAATATTTTGAAGTGAGTACATCCTTAATTTTCATGCTCCCATTCATACAATGCAAAGAATCTAATAACTCAATCAAACTTTTCAGTCTATTCCAGGAGTTAACAAAATCAAACAAGGTCAAAATCCCGCCACATGGATGCTTGAAGTTACTTCTTCAGCAGTCGAAACTCAACTTGGTGTTGATTTTGCAGAGATTTATGCCAATTCTGATCTTTACAAGTATGAATCTTCAAACCTGTCTTTTCGACTCTACTAATCTTCTTGCTAATGGGTTCTTTCTAACAGGCAGAGCCAGGAGCTCATTGAGGTAGTAAGTACACCAATACCAGGGTCCAAGGACCTTTACTTCCCTACAAAGTACTCTCAATCCTTTTGGACACAATGCATGGCTTGTTTTTGGAAACAACACTGGTCTTACTGGAGGCATCCACAGTATAATGTTGTTCGGTTCTTCATGACAACGATAATTGGCATTCTGTTTGGAGTGATTTTCTGGGACAAAGGCCAAAAGACGTAAGAAATCAAACACATGATATCGTTTTCAGATTTCATATGTAATTCTAAATGAATTTGTGTCGCTTTGACAGTGAAAAACAACAAGATGTAATGAATCTGATGGGAGCTATGTATGCTGCTGTATTGTTTCTTGGTGGAACCAACACTTCAACTGTGCAGTCTGTGGTGTCTATAGAAAGGACAGTTTTCTATCGTGAGAAGGCAGCAGGGATGTATTCACCAATCCCTTATGCATTTGCTCAGGTATGAGAAAGCTGTTAGCTTTTCTGTTTCTAATGGCATTTCTAGAAAACTCAAAGGAGATGATTATTTTATCTGCAGGTGGCCATTGAGGTGGTTTATGTAGGAATCCAAACCATCATATACAGTCTTCTGATTTACTCCATGATTGGATTCCAGTGGTCCGCAGACAAGTTCTTATGGTTCTACTTCTACATGTTCATGTCCTTTGTCTATTTCACATTATACGGAATGATGCTTGTAGCCCTCACACCCAATTATCAGATTGCAGCCATTTCTATGACCTTCTTCCTCAATTTCTGGAACTTGTTCTCTGGTTTCCTGATCCCTAGAACGGTATGACAACCTAAATCACTAATCTAAAAGTCACTGATTAGAAGGAATTACGTTAATAAAAGCTAACACATTAAAACTAACCTGAACATTGCAGCAAATACCGATCTGGTGGAGGTGGTATTACTGGGGATCACCGGTAGCGTGGACTTTATACGGCCTGATCACATCTCAGCTTGGTCAAAACGAAAGCCTTGTAGAGGTTCTAGACCAGAATTCCATCACAGTGAAGGAATTCATTAAAGAATTTCTAGGGTTTGAGTACGATTTTCTCGGATACGTTGCTTTCGTTCATGTTTGTTGGGCCGTCCTCTTTTGCGTCGTCTTTGCCTACGGCATCAAGTTTCTGAATTTCCAACGAAGATAGCGAAATCATCGAATACTCAGTCTAAATGCGTTTAGATGATTATAGAACATATACGGTTGCCTTTTCTTTTCCGGAAACCATTGATTGATTTACGAACAGTCCGAACACAAACAAACAAACGAGAACCTAATAATCTAAAACACCTCCAGTTGAAGTATATGTGCGATCATCAATTTTCCTGCTATCACTATCAGGAATTCAGGTTTCAGGTATGCATCAATGGCAATCAAGACAATGGAGAAGCAAGATTTTATGGGCTGCTTGACTTATCATTTGTGTTTTATTTTTATTTTTATTTTTATTTAATAAAATAATCTTTATTGTTCTGTTTTTATGCAATTTATATTTATATTTTTGTGTAATGAAATATTATTGTTGTATTGTTTTGTTAATACGTAAGGTTTCCATAAAAAACACACACTCTCTTTCTCTCTCTCTCTCTCTCTCTATATATATATATATATATATATATATATATATATATATATATATATATATATATATATATTTTTGGAAAAAGACCTTTCAAACATCAACTGGTTTGTCTCCATTGTTTCTGGTACAGAATTTCCTATAAAAATGGAAAATGTCCTACCTTTGAGTGCGGTTTGAAATACTGATTTACATAATTGGAAGTAACCAATTAGGTTTACGACGAAACCTAGAAATCAATCACTGATCCAATTTAAATACCTCTACACGATAGACATCAACAGAAAATTGAAGAGTAACGGCGATAAGTGATTGAGTTCAATAGTTCCTTATATAAAATCATTGACTCTAGAGATATATAAATATAGAGAAGACAAAATTATTTCAAGCACCGACAGAACCGGAAGCGCCCCTTCTTTCAAAGAGAAGAGGACGGATTATTCACATTTCATTTGATGGTCAGAGGCGAATTGAATGCTAAGTAGTGGTAATTCTAAAGATTCCTGGGGGAAATAGAGATGTCTCCTACGTTACCCATAATATGTGGAAGTATCAACATAATTTCATAGAGTCATCTGGTCTGAATGCTACATGAAGAACATAAGCTAGATGATGGAACGGGAAGACCTAGGATGTAGAAGATCATAACATGAGTGATTCGACAGACCTAAATTTTGTACTAGGTATAATACCCGTGTATTACACGGGTTGACTAAAAAAGAGATTAAATATTAAAGTGTAAAAAATAAATATTTTTTAAAATAAAAGTTTGAAATAAGAAATAAAAAAATATTAATTGCAATTTAGTATCATATCTATGACATTTAATACTTTACATATATAAATATATAAATATTATGTGGCTTTTTAATATTAAATTTTGAATTGTCGTGAGAATTGATATTTGAATATTATTTATTTCAAAAATATTATAAAATGACAAATGCCAAAACTTATGAGATATTGACATGTGACAAAATAGATCTTTATTTATTATAGTTGATTTTTTCGATTTGGACCTAAAACTTTTTTTTTGTTCAAAATAAACTTAACTTTAAAATATTCTTTGTTATTTCATTAAATGTATATAAATATAATATGTGCGTAAAATAGAAATTAGATGAGTGGCTTTCTAAAATATTTCTTAAAGATTAAAATAAATTAGGTAGTTGTAAAATAGTCATTCATCTAATTGTTCAATATTGGATAAGCACATGAGAAAACTATAAAACCAATTCCACACTAACATCCCTAAAATGGACATGATCTGATAATCATCCATGAGGATTAAGGGTTTAAAGAAAAGAAAAAACTAATTCTAACATGAACCAATTATAAAATAGTCATTCATCTAATTTTTCAATATTTAATAATCACATGAGAAAACTATCAAACCAAATTCATCTAATTGTTCAATATTTGATAATTACATGAGAAAACTATTAAACCAATTCCACACTAACATCCTTAAAATGGACATGATCTGATAATCATCCATGAGAATTAGGGGTTTAAAGAAAAGAAAAACTCAATTCTAACATGAACCAATTATAACATGGGTTTCCATATAGAAGAACATAACAAATGAATTAACGGTGGCTATATCTCAAATATAGCCTTCAAGATTAAAAGTCAAGCTTTCAAATTTGTAGGTAGTGTAAGAATAAGAGTAGCAACAATTATGGAGTTGTTAAAGAATTTTCCGCAATTGGATATGATGTGATCACAGAAAATGACATCGGTTAAGTTAATCATCCTCGTTAAGTCTGCTCACCGCACTATCTCTTATCATGGTGAACTCGGCCTTCTACAGTTCTGTAACATATGCTCCTGAATCTGAATCTCTCTTAATAATTATCTATATTTTTGTTATATTGTTTATTTAATTTGAATATCCCTAAATTATCTGTGCATATGTAGGATGTAATTTATTACTCCTCAATACCAAATTTTACTATACAAATTTATAAAGATATGGAGTAATTAAGCCAAGTGATGTTGATTTCACTACTAGCAATGAAGATGAACTAAGGAACCAATTGTGCCAAGTGCCAACCTACTTTCAAAGTTGATAATTTCTTTCCATAATCGAAGCATTAAGACTTCAGATATGGAGTTGTGTTTATGTTTAAATTCTTGGCATTACAAGGCAATTCCATATAACAAGTTTCTTTTATTTATTAGTTTTCATATTTTAGTTTAATAGTGATTCAAGTTATAGATCTTTTTTACATCAGGGAGGTTACTAATCTCTTGATTTTTATTTTTCTTGGCAGTTGAATATTGATAAAAGCCTCTTTCAGAGAATATTTGTAAATTAGATAATGCTTATATTTTATTAGTAGTTGATATCATATCACTTGTTGATAAGCCACAAAGTAACCTTAAATCTTTATTTACCCTATTGTGTTACAATTATTAGGTAAAAAGATGTGTTGAGATGTAAAGACAACTTTGTTTCTTCAAAGATAAGATAAATAAGGCTGGATTTTCATCTTCATCTCTTCTTACAATACAACTAGATGTTGATCTAATTTATTTTAATCTTTGAGAAATATTTTAAAAAGCCACTCATGTAATTTCTATTTTCAAGCACATATTATATTTATAAAATTAAAATATATACATTTAATGAAATACAAAATAATAGGTTAAAGTTGGGTTTATTTAGAAAAAAAAAACATTTAGGTCTAAACCGGAAGAAAAATATAAAATATAGGGTTTTTTGTGGGAAAAAAAACTCTCACTTTACCTGTTTTGTAAGTGGTAATGTCTGAAATAACAAGTTATGGATAAAAGTTGGGTCTTTCTCGAAAAATAAAATAGTCTTAACCAGTGTTGTAAAACTCATCAAGTTGTCCGATTACTTATCCGAGTACTCACTACTCGGCCCATTACCGAGACGAGTTACGGAATCTCGAGTACTCCCCGATCGGCCACTTACTAAATTGAGTAGTGTTGTAAAACCCAGTCAACTCGGTGCTTAATACGTATAATATACTTAACGGTTTATTATTTAACACATATACACACATGTGATTATTACTATATATATATATATATATATATATATATATATATATATCTTAAATTTTCAGTAATTAATCACAAAGTGAGTGCCATTATGTGTTTTTCAGTTTTTGTGTATTTACAGGTATCTAATTTTGTTATATATTTCAATCAACTTAAGATTTTTAACTTATGATTTTGGCATATATAAGTTCCCTAAAAATATTTCTACATGAATTACTGAATTTGAGTATTCTCCGAGTACTCGTTACTCGGTAGTCGACCGAGCAGATATCGAGTAACAAGTTTTACAACCTTGGTCTTAAGTGTAAAAAAATGTCAAAAAATAGGGTCTTATATGGAAACAATTCTTTATGTAATTTATGTGTCAACTATTTTTCTATGTTATTAGGTCATTCGCATTGCAATGTCATTAAACTTTTAATTGTGGCATATCAGCTTTGTAATTACCATTCATGTTTATACAATAACAATTTTATTTCATAATTACTCCCTACTAACACCTCAACAAATTTATTATATATATAATATTAATCATGTAAATTTTAAAAAACATTATACATATATTACACAACTTTATTTTTCATTAATATTTTATTGCCAAAATTACAAAAATGGTTCCTGTGGTATGTAATTTTTTCTAAGGTTTAGTCAAAACCTCAAATTTTTTAGTTTCATGATTCTTTTGGCCTAGTTTGTATGTGGAAATGGTTATTCGGTGAACTGGAATGACTTTATTACCCTTGGGTATTTATTTTCTATTTTTCTTTCATTTTTTAAATATAAATACTTATTTATTTATTTAACTAATTAAAAATAATAAAACTCTCTCTCTCTCTCTCTCTCTCTCTCCTTCTCTTTCCCTCTATCTCTCTATCTCTCTCTCTCTCTCTCTATCAAACACATGTCGATTACCAGCCACACCCTCCATTGAAGCAACCACCAAACACGATCATCAGTTTATGTTCTTCGTCTTCTTCCCCTTTCCGTCAAAAATCATATCCAAATCTGATAAACACATGCAAACTTCCAGATCATATGAACCCAATTCAACCTCTTTGTTCACAATCTGACCTGTTCAATTTTTGATTTTGTTCTTGAAGAGAAGAAAGAGAGTTCATATCCACCCAAGAACACCCTGACATAAACATGTTCTTGAAATACACACCATATGTTTGTTTTCCAAATTCAACTTCACACACACATATGAAATTTTTAGATTCGATTTCTGTGACATCCCCAATTTCACGGATAGAAAAGATCGATTTTGTTTATGCTTTATAAAAATCAGAGTACCTCTTTTAATAAAAATGTTGCGGAATTTGTTTCCAGTAGAACATGATAAATACGTTATCAAAGCATTTCCGAAGAAAAGTATTTTTATTAATTTTAAAACATTTGGGATGTCATTGGCAATACATAAACATAAGCATAAACAGAACTTACATTCATTATCACTAGTAATTTATATCTCATTAATCTCTCAGTGTAATGTCGCTTCATATCAACACCTGTGATATAAATAAACTGAGTGGGTC